GGTGTAGCCTCTAGGGAGGGGAAGGGGAGTGAGGTTACAGAAAGATGCACTTGGGTCTTCAAATTGTGTCTGTCATGTTAAATTATTTAATGCTAGAGGCCCGGTGCACAAAATTCATACATTGGGAGGAGGTCCGTCAGCCTGGCCTGTGCCCTCTCACAGTCTGGGAGGCCCGTGATACATCGCCCCAGAGAGGGAGGCCCTGCCCACCTGCCACAGCCTCCCGTGGGTGGCCTGGGCCTCCCTCTTTGGGGCAATCGTGGAGCCCCCCTAATTGATTGCCCCCCCAGCCAGTGACCTGGGCCTCCCTTTTCAGGATGATCATGGGGTGATGGCCAGGCCCCCAACCAATTGCATTGCACCTGCCTTGGCTGGCCTGGTGCTAGTGGGTGTCATAGCATGGTTTTCTGGAAGATTATCTGGGTGATTCTACTGTTTGGTTGTTCAGTTGATTTGCATATTACGCTTTGATTATTATAGATGGGTGTTGGGAACCTGAGTTTGTTTATTTATTTACTAGAGGTCCAGGGCACGAAATTTATGCACGGGGGAGGGGGTGCTTCCCTCAGCCCGGCCTGCACCCTCTCGCAGTCTAAAAGCCCTCAGGGGATGTCTGACTGCTGCAGAGGTGGGAGAGGCTCCCACCACTGTTACTGCACTCGCCAGCTGTGAGCCCGGCTTCTGGCTGAGCTGCGCTCTCCCTGTGAGAGCACACTGATCACCTGGGGGCAGCTCCTGTGTTGAGCGTCTGCCCCCGGTGGTCAGTGTGCATGATAGCAACCGGTTTTTTCTTTGTTAGGTCTGTTTGCATATTAGCCTTTTATTATATAGGGTTTTTTGTTTTTTGTTTTTTTTGTTGTTAATTCTTACTCAAGGATATTTTTCTGTTGTGGTGTGAATGCGAGTAAAGACCACTGGAGTCCAGACCAAATTAAAATTTAGGGAGCCTTTATTGCCGGCCAGCGGCTGTTCTCTCTCCATGCAGGGAGGTCAGAGAGCAGCAGCGACCCTTGTGTAGGACCGCTTTTAAGTCTATTAACCACATCCTGTTTTTACAGAACAAGTAACCCAAGACAAAACAGTTTTTCCCAGCCAACGTCAGATCATGCCAGTGAGGACCATGTTCACGGGACATCATGTTCTTCAGAAAGCTGACAGTGACCTATGAAAGAAGACCTACGTGCTGGGAAGGGGCCATGAAACCCTATGTCAAAGCCATTGATTTTTTTTTAAGAAGGAGTGGAGAGAGGGAGGGAGGGAAAGAGATAGATGAATTGGTTGCCACCCCCACATGCCCAGACGGGGGCCAGGAATTGAACCTGCAACCCAGGCACGTGCCCTTGACCAGGAATCAAACCCGAGGCCCTTTGGTGTGTGGGCAGCTGCTCTAACCACAGGGCAACACTCGTCAGGGCTGTTTCATTATTATCTACACGTTTCCTTTGCCTAAGCTATTGCATAATTTAAAAAATTAACCTCAAAAAGCAGTATACATAAGAGTAACATATGTTCACAGTTTTAAAAAATTCGACAAGTATGAAAAGGTATGAAGTTTAGGTAAAAAAAAAAAAATCTCCTTGTCCTCCAATCTGAGTGTGACTTTCTATACATAACCACTGTTACTAGCTACTTGTGTACCCTCCAGAAAATGTTTAAAGGTCTGCACACACTGGATATATAATACTAAGTGTAGTGGACACTGGTCCCCCCAAACACACCCTTAATAGTTCTTGTCTGAATAATTTTCCCTAAGCACACATAGATACATCATGTTCTTTTTATTTATTTATTTATTTATTGCACAGACAATGCATTTTTATTATTTTTGTATATCTAGCACTTAGGAGAGCCTCTACTATATTGCAATATTGTAGACACTCAGTAATTACATGAATGAATAAAAAGACAAGTGAATCCCAGTCTGTTACTTTAAAAGTTGAATATAATAAATATTTACCCAATGAGTGAAGGAGTGAAGATTCACCTTCAGAATACAGGAAGTTCTTTAAAGCAGCTCCTGTTTTAAAGGAGTAATAAAATTTAGAAATGAAAACAAATCAATATGAAGTTCACAACATCTTGTTCTTTTTAGAAACTGGGTAGGATCCGCTACCCAGAGGATGTACTATGTTTAACTAGTTCCCCACTGATGAGCACTCAGGTTGTTTGCTATTATAAACAGTGCTGCAAAAAATACCTTTGAACCTATATGTCTGCTTGAGCTGCCAGAATAGTACAATGAACACTTGTGTAAGTAAATCTGTAAGAGAAGGATCTCAGCAGTGAAATGGCTGGGTCAAAAGTTCTGTCCATTTAAATTATTTCCAAATTACATTCCCAAAGTTCATACCAATTTACATTTTTACCAACAACAAATGAGGTTGTCTGTTGCTCCATGTCCTTACCAACACCTATTGTTTATCTTTGCCTTATTGATTTGTCATAACTCTTTGTATATTAGGGAAATGAATTCTTATCTTCCCCTTATGTTATAATTTTTTCCCAGGGAGGCACTTAATGTTTTTTAAAAGTTGATTTCAAAATTTGTATTCCTATTTATTTTTATATTGAAGTGAAATTCACATAACATAAAATTAATCGTTTAAAAGTGTTTTTTTTCAAGTTCACAGTTCAGTAGTAGTTAGTACATTCATAATGTTGTGCAATCACCACCTCTGACTAGTTCCAAAACATTTTTTTTAAAATCAATCTTTATTGTTCATATTATTACAAAGGTTCCTCATTTCTTCCCCCTTCCACCAGGTTTGCACCCCACCCTCTGCCCCCTCCCCACCCCCCATTGTCCTCATCCATAGGTGCACAGTTTATGTTCAGTCTCTTCCTCCCTCCCTTTCCCCGAGAGCAAAACATTTTTTATCACCCCAAAAGGAAATCTCACACTCATCAAGCAATCTATCTTCATTCCCACGCCCCTTCCCATCAAGGCTGTTTGTTCTTGTTTTGTTGTTTGTGACCATCTGGTTTTACTTAGTGAAATGTATGAATCTTTTTTTATAACTGCTTTGCGATGATGCATATAAATTTGTTTCCCTCACTCTGAAATTATTAAAAAGCAAAAATAAACAAATAAATTAATTAATTAAATCATTTGTAATGGTCAGGGAAATTTTAACACTTGGGAACCACTGTTCTAGAGTTCTAGAAGGCAAGGACCTCCCCTTGTCTCCACCAAGCACAAAGTTAGAGAATAAGTATTGAGTAAATGTTTATTAAAGGCAATTTTTACTTTAAGATTATAAGAAGAAAACGCCTTATATTCTCTTGATGTCCTTTTAGGGTATTTCCCCCCTTAATTAAAAGTTTCATCCATCTGAAATTTATTTTGGTGAATAGAATGAGGTAGAGGCACAGCTTTATTTTTTTCCAAGTGGCTAGCCAATTGAACCTACATCATATTGAATAATCTGTCTTCCCCACTACATGGAAATGCCACCTTTAGCATATCCTAAATTCCCACATGCATTTGGGTTTATTTCTGGACTCCCTATCTTGTCTTCGTGACCTCTCTGTCTGGGATTCTGTATTTTTCAAAACCCCCAGGGGATTCCGATGTGGCTGATCTGCAGCTGGTGCTGAGCTAGAATGGCTATGTTTGCGCATTCTTAGCAAAAAGAAGGGGAAAAGTATCATAAAGCGAGATTTCGTTTTAAGGGCCTGTTTTTATTTTGAGATTATGTCCTTCCTAGGTCTTTTCTTTTAAAAATTTAAAATGAGCCGAAACTGGTTTGGCTCAGTGGATAGAGCGTCAGCCTATTCATTTTTTAAATGAATACTGATAATAGTCAGTTTATTTATTTTTCAGTACATTTTTATGGAGTATAACATACATAGAGAAATGTACACAAATCGTAAGTGCACAGCTTAATGAATTGCTACTATGTGAACACCCTATGGCTGTTGTAATGAAGTACCACAAACTTGGTGGCCTAAAACAACAGACTTTTATTCTCTCAGTTTTGGAGGAGAGAAGCCTGAAATCAAGGTGTCAGCAGGACCAGTCACCCCTGAAGACTCTCGGGGAGAATCCTTCCTGGACTCTTCCAGCTTCTGGGGGCTCCTGCGGTTCCTTGGCCTGTGGCTGCATCACTCCGGTATCTCTGCCTCCATCTCCACACAGCGTTCTTCTCTGGGTTTCAGTCTTCCTCTGCTTTCTCAGAAAAGGTCACCCATCATTGGGTTTAGGCCCATTCTAATACAGAATGATCTCATCCCAGGATCCTTAAGTTAATTACAGCTACAAAGACCCTTCTTCCAAATAAGGTTACTTTCATAGATTTCCGGGGAGAGAGGTACAGTTCAACCCACTGCAGCTTCATGTAACCAGCATCCCACGTCAAGAACTGGAGCATCAGCCGAAACCGGTTTGGCTCAGTGGATAGAGCATCGGCCTGCGGACTGAAGGGTCCCAGATTTGATTCCGGTCAAGGGCATGTGCCTTGGTTGCGGGCACATCCCCAGTAGAAGGTATGCAGGAGGCAGCTGATTGATGACTCTCTCTCATTGATGTTTCTAACTCTCTGTCCCTCTCTCTTCCTCTCTATAAAAAAAATCAATAAAATATATTTTTAAAAAAGGAAAAAAAAAAAAAAAAAGAACTGGAACATCAGTGCAGCCCTAAAAAGAGCCCTCATGATCTGCTGGGCAGTGGAGTAACCACTGTCTTCACTGCTTATCCCCCCTCCCATGACTTTTATTTTGAAGAATTCTCAAACTTTCTATAAGATTCACCTAGGTTCATGAGTTGTTAACATGTAGACACATTTTCTCCCCCTACCATGTCTCTCTGTCTCTCTCTGTCGCTCTCTCTCTCTCTCTCTCTCTCTTTCTCTCTCTTCCCTCAGATACAAGGGAGTTAACTGCAGACAACTTCATATGTCACCCCTAAATCCTCTAAATAACAGGCAGTCTCCTCCATAACCACAACACGATTATCCAATACACAATCAATATTCAAATTTCTCCAATTGTTTCATGGATATCTTCCTTAAGGGACCCATTGGGAGAACTCTTATCAGGACAAAGCGACTGCTCACTTCCTCCCCTTCTGCTTCGTGTGTACTACGAAATAGTCATTGCATGCGATGGTGAGCCCAGCAATTAGCGAGAAGAAGCTCTGGAAGCCCACTCTGCCGTCTCGGCACTGGTCCAGGTCCTTCGTTATTTTGTCTACAGCCAGAGGGTCTTTTTGATTTTCCAAAAACCCAGGGAACTCCTTTTCCATGAGTACTCGTAGGTCCTCCTTCGTCAAGTAGCCTTTATCCCCAGCGAATTTGTGAAACGTGAACATCATGGTTTCCATGGCGTGTTCCATTTGAGACGGCATTTTGGTGAGGTCGCGGCGGGAGCGGCGGGACCGGTGGTTGCGGGGAGGCGGCGGGGATGCGGCCAGTCTTAATATGGCCATTTTAAACCCCAGGCCTAATAAAAAAAAAACTTTCATATTACTTTTAGTGTTCATGGTTTATATATATATATATATATATATATATATATATATATGTGTGTGTGTGTGTGTATATATATATATATATAATTTTTAAAAATATATTTTATTGACTTTTTACAGAGAGGAAGGGAGAGGGATAGAGAGCTAGAAATGTCGATGAGAGAGGATGCCTACTGCACACCTCCCACTGGGGTTGTGGCCGCAACCAATGTACATGCCCTTGACCGGGATCGAACCTGGAACCCTTCAGTTCACAGACCAATGCTCTATCCACTGAGCCAAGCCAGTTTCGGATATATATATATATATATATATATATTGATTTGATAGAGGAAGAGAGAGAAAGCAATAGAAACATCAGTGATGACAGAGAATCATTGATTGGCTGCCTCCTGCATGCCTCTGACTGGAAATTGGATGGAGCATGCAACCTCAACATGTGCCCTGACCTGGAATTGAACTGTGACCTCCTGGCTCATAGGTCAGTGGTTAACCACTGAGCAACATAGGCCAGGTGATTAAAAAAAAATCATTATGACTGCTTAAATTTTTTTTTTCTGGTAAAATGAAGACTTGTCAATTCCCAAATATGTTTGAATTCAAAAGGCGAGTCGCTGCTGTGAACTAGCATCATGGTTCACAAGAACTTTCTGGATGCCGCCAATGATCTATGACTTGTGCTGCTCAGTATGGTTGCCACATGTGGTTAGTGAGACCGAGGGACTGAATTTTAAATTTTATCTAATTTTCATTAATTTAAATTAATACGTGCACACAAGCTTCGTGGCCATCAGATCAGAGCCCAGGTCTAGACCAACCCACACACCTGGGGGCTGAGGGCTCTTGTCCTCGGCCTGTGGTCAGGGAGGAGGTGCTGAGTGATAGGGACACCGAGAGGTTGAAGAAAGCCTGAGGTCTAACTCGGCCCTCCCACCCTGTCACTCACCATCCCCATGTCACTCTGTCCTCAGTGGTCCATACATATGATATATTCTGTGTGCCTACCCTGAGAATAAGGTGACAAAAGGACTCTGTTGTGGCTTAATCAGAGGGGATTATAAAAGTCTGCTAATGTATTTGTCTTACACATCAGTTTGTCATCCCCTGAGGTCAGGGGCCCAGCTCATTGTCTGACATTTAGAAGGAGATCTATAAAGCTTTGCAGAATGAATAAATGAATGAATGAATGGCACGCATGGAGGTGCCTGGTAGAGTCCCTCAGGTCAACTGGAGAGGACAGGACAGAGAGGACGGAAGAGATGGGGCTGCTTAGTAAGGGACAGAAGGAGCAGGGCTCCAGGGTATATGTAACCTGCCTTGCCCCACCCCTGGGTGACTCAGGCTGAAACTGGATGCCATCTAAGGCATTCACCCTGTCTAAGCCTCACTGGCCAGTCCTGTCCATTGCTTTCCATTTGCCCTTCAGGAAAATGCTTTTGCACTGAAAGAAGTTGTTGGAGGTTGTCCAGTATGCAAAGCCCTGCTCCTCGCCCCTGTGGCAAGCTCCTCTTCACTCTTCAAAACCTGGTTCAGGTGTTTCTTTTCTTTTTCCTTCCTTCCTTCCTTTCTCTCTTTCTTTCTTTCTTTCTTTCTTTCTTTCTTTCTTTCTTTCTTTCTTTCTTTCTTCTTTTCTTCTCTCTCTCTCTCTCTCTCTCTCTCTCTCTCTCTCTCTCTCTCTCTCAAATATATTTTATTGATTTTTTTACAGAGCGAAAGGGAGAGTCAGAAACATCAATGAGAGAGAAACATTGATCAGTTGACTCCTGTACACCCACCACTGGGGATGTGCCCGCAACGAAGGTACATGCCCTTGACCAGAATTGAATCTGGGACCCCCCAAGTCTGCAGGCTGACGCTCTATCCACTGAGCCAAACCAGTTTGGCAGATGTTATTTCCTTTAAAAAAAAATATATATATATATATATTTTATTGATTTTGTACAGAGAGGAAGGGAGAGAGTTAGAGAGTTAGAAACATCGATGAGAGATAGACATCGATCAGCTGCCTCTTGCACAACCCCTACTGGGGATATGCCCGCAACCAAGGTACATGCCCTTGATCGGAATCGAACCCGGGACCCTTCAGTCCCCAAGCCAACGCTCTATCCATTGAGTCAAACTGGTCTTGGCGGCAGATGTTATTTCTGATAAAGCCTCCCTGACCTTTTAACTTCTCCCCAATGGAATTAATCACCACCTCTTCCAATATGGATTCTGGAGCCAGACTACCTGGGTTTGAATCCCTTCACTGCCACTTACAAGCTGTGTTACTTCGGGCAATTTACTTAACTTCTCTGTGCTTCTCTTTCTTCATCTGCGATATGGGAAAATAGCACACACCTCACCATTAAATGAGTGAATATAGTACATATAAATACTTATGTCAGTGCCTGGCACACGTTGTGAGCTAAATTAAAAAAGCTGACTAGTATTACCATTGTTTTTCTATGTTTAGGAAATACCTACAAATACAGTGAACCCAGCAGATAAGGGCCCTGCCCTCATAATGATCTCAGCCTGCTGGGAGAGATAGGTGAATAGGCAGGAAATTCACTCTGAATTGTGAAAAATGCCACAATAAGGGAAGTGGTTGGCTGGGGGAGTCGGGGGTGGGCATGGGAACACGGAAGAGCCTTTCTTCTCAGGTTGGGGTGGTCAGCAGCATTTTCCTGGGAGAAATGACATCTCAGCTGAAATCTAAAAGATGAATAAGATTTACCCAGACACGGGGGTGGGCAGAGATGGGGGGCATGGGAAGGGTTTGAGGCAGGGGAAATGGAGAGTGCAAAGGTCCAGAGAACTGAAGTTGGAGGAATAGAGTGAGAGGGCGGGCTGTGGTGGAGGCAGCTGGTCGATATATTAAAAAAAAAGATATGCACTCAACGACCACTGTCTAAACGTGGTCGTTGAGTGCATATCTTTTTCTTTTTTTTTAAAAAAAATATATTTTATTGATTTTTTACAGAGAGGAAGGTAGAAGGATAGAGAGTTAGAAACATGGATGAGAGAGATACACCAACCAGCTGCCTCCTGTACACTCCCACTGGGGATGTGCCCACAACCAAGGTACATGCCCTTGAGTGGAATCGAACCTGGGACCCTTCAGTCTGCAGGCCGACGCTCTATCCACTGAGCCAAACCAGTTTCGGCTTGAGTGCATATCTTTATGGTCTGTCTCCTTTCCTGTTTTGTGAGCTTTTGCAGAACCAACTCATGCCTCCTTTCTTTCCATATGCCCAACACCCACCGAGCACCCAGCCTGGCACTCTTCAAAGCTTCCATGCATGTTTGCCGAAGGGAAACGAAAGAGGAGAACAGTGCCTTTCCCAGCAGAGCGCTGGCTCCAGCAACCTTTTCATTTGATTATTCTAGTACTTGTGACTTAGGCATTCTTAATTGCCTTGGGATGTCAAGTTCAGTTGTTCGCTCAGAATTGTCATCTGCTGTGTATCTCAGAGTGCTGTGAATGAAATAGTTCTGTTGGGACAAAGTCAAGTTCTGAGCCAACCAGGTGACCTCAGATCCTGCTCCCAGGAGTCCCTCTAGAGGTGAACTTTCAAACTCCTGGGTGCATACGAAGGATCCATCTACCGCCTGGGGTCTGTGTAGGTGATGCATATTCTGATTCAGTGGGTCAGGGGCCTGGCCCACCGAGGGTCTGCATTGCTAACAAGCTCCCAGGTGGTAGAGATGCTATAGGTCCACGAATAGCAGGGCACTAGCCAACACTGTCTTTTCCCCTGGCCCTAATTGCAGTGGTGATTGGGAAAGCCAGTGGAGCCAGGTTTTGCAGGGCCTCGGATGCCAGGCTAGGGAGTTTGGTCTTCGTTCTGAAATCTGCAGGGAGCTATGGAAGCTTCCTGATCACTGTCAGGGATGGCCGACCAAGAAGTGTATCTAGAGCGTGGGTGCTGGGCACTGGAGGGCCGAGCTATGTGCCATTGGGAGAGAAGTGGGAGGGCTGAAGCTCAAGCAGTGGCAGTGAGAATGCGGAGGACTGAGGGTGTTATGGACTGAGTTGCACCCCCCACCCCCGATTCATTGGTTGAAATCCTATCCCGCAGCACCTCAGAATGTGACTGTTTCTGGAGACAGAATCTTTAGAGAGGCAGTTAAGGTAAAACAAGGTTATGAGAGCATCCCAGGTTCGATTCCGGTCAGGGGCATGTACCTTGGTTGTGGGCACATCCCCGGTAGGGGGAGTGCAGGAGGCAGCTGATCCATGTTTCTCTTTCATCGATGTTTCTAGCTCTCTATCACTCCCCTTCTCTGTAAAAAATCAATAAGATATATATATATATTTTTTTTAAAAAAAAGAAGAAATTAGGACACAGACACACAGAGGGAAGACCACAGGAGGACACAGGGAGAAGGCAGCCATCGACAAACCAGGGACACAGGCCAATCCAGTCCTCACCTTGATCTTGAACTTCCAGACTCCAGAGTCTGAGAAAATAAATTTCTGTTGCTTAAGCCCCCTAGTCTTTGGTACTTTGTTATGGCAGCCCTAGCAGACTAATACTGAGGGGATGGATTTAAGAGGATTAACCAGGTGGTCCACTGTTTGGATGACGTGGGGGAAGGGCATGCGCTATAGGATTATACAGGGATGGTCTGGAAATAAGGAAGGCCAGGGAGGAGAGTGCTGTGAAAGAGGCAGGAGAGCGCTTGGAGGGAGGAGCAGGGCTGGAGAGGAGGAGATCTGGACCAGGTTGCCCTGGAAATGCCCTGGGACCTTCAGGAGGCTTTTGGCAACAAGGCTGGTGGTGTTTGTGGTCACAGCCAGATTCCTAAGTGGTTGAGGAGAAGGAACGGAATGGTCCTCGAGTCAACTGGGGCCTTTGGTTGCAAGCACTCAGAACTGCTTTGGGCTAACTTAAGCAAAAAGGATATTGAGAAGGTTCCTGGAGGCTCCCAGCAGTGATGTGAGGGCTTGTTGCCAGACTAGGAG